ATTTTTCCTTATCTGCCTTTGGGTTGCTTCCTGTGAGTTGCCCTAACACCTGCACATTGGTGCCTTAGTGCTTGCTGCAGGTTATTGAAAGCACATAACAAAAGAGAAGATACATATCTTTAAATTAAGTAATACAAAATAATGTTCCGTGACCTCCCTAATGCTGTTAAATTCATTGTGACATCTGAAGCAAGAAAGAGTGGAATGCTTTAAAGAAATCCTTTAAAATTAGCTTTTAAAATGTGAACCAGCAGCTATGTCTCCTGCAGAGACATCGGTGGCTTTAACTGAGGAAAATTCCTAACATTTGTGAATATAAATCCTTAAAATCTGTTTGACCTCTTTGAAAAATCAAAGGTGAGGGTTTAAGGGACACTGGGATTACGAAGATTAACTCCCATTCCCAGCCAACTTCCTGGGGGTAGAAGTTCTGAGAAAAATGCTTTGCTGTGTGGTGGAAACAGCTGATAAGGCATTGTCCTACTCTTGCAAAGGGAAGCCTTAGAGTTGTGGTGTGAACTAGCTTGTTCATTAGGGGTGGCTCTGGATTAAGGTGGTAGTAATTCAGGAGAGAATCAAAGTGAGGGATCATGAGCTTTTGAAGTACAAAGGAAAACCATGATCGTGTGTATTGTGGTGTTGATTCCCAGCCTGGTCTGTACCACAGCTGCTGTAGGTTATGCTTGTACCTTCAGCTGGGGTGTAGCCAGAATGTTTCTCCTTTGTTTGTTTATTTATTTTTTTAAGCTTGAGAAAGCAAATGAGTCATATCCTTGCACTATAAACACTACCTTGTTCTTACTTTTCTTTGCAAGGTATTCATTTTGTCCTTTCAAAAAAACAGTTGGTTCTCCATTTCCCTGTTAAGAAATATACCAGAAATTCAGAACTTTCTTTGCTTCCGCTGAAGAGCCTCATGGTTTTTGTCAGAACTTGGATAGCCTTGTGCAACCTGGATTTTCTGTATTCAAAGCCTGTTTTTTTGTGTTCTGCTTCCCAAAAGAGCCTGGTTTGGTACACAAGGGATGATATTTTAAGACTGAACAGTTTAGCGTTGTGTTTGTGTGTTGCAGGGGAATGTAGGGTGTGTTGAAAGTTGCATCTCTCTGAAAGTGAGCCTAGAACTTCAGGAGAAAAGCAAAAGCCAGCAAAAGGGATTGTAATTCTAAATGTCATTAAAGCCTTCTTAGCAAAAAGATAAGCCATTTTAAATGTGGCATAATGCATATCCTGTTTTGGGGCTGTGAAATCCACAGATTGCTTTTGGCTCCTGGATTCCCTGCTGCAGTACACATCCTACGGGGTGATGCCGCCGAGCCTCAGCCATTCCGAGAACCGGCAGCGGCCGCCGTCGGGAGCCGGCTCCGCCCTCCCCGAGCGCATGGAAGGTGAGACACAGCCTGAGAGCCAAGCACAGCCCGCAGCTCAGGGACTGCCCGGCCGCCAAGGCTGGGACTGACCCCTTGAGCTGTGAGCTCTGCAAGGTTCTGCTGTTTTACTGCAAGGCTGCACATTTTGCAGGGTTTTGTTGTGGTAATACAGTTGTGATTAGACTGAAGAAAACGTTCTTTTCATAGAGTAGGAATGTTCTGATGCCTGGCTCTGCAGAGGGGCATTCTAGTTACTAGCTGCAGAGCATTATAAAGCATTCAGTCTTATCCCACATGCTGCCAAGAAAAACTTGGATTAACTGCTGTGGCAGGTGCTGACTCTTACTGTTTTGTAAGGTGCTCTTGCATTAATTCTGATATTTAGCTATGAGTCCTCGTTACTGTAAACAGCTCCTGGGTTTACAGCAGCACTGTTTAGCACAGGGTCAGTGTTGGTAACTTTTATCTTGCCTGTCTTTGGGTAAGCCAGTGTCTCTGCTGTGAGTTGCAGGTAACCATTTGCATAGATACTCAAAGGTGCTCGAGGCTCATTTGGGAGACCCTAAACCCCGATCCCTTCCTGCTTGTCCTCACCTGTCCTGGGCCAAACCACAGCCTTTGAATGAAACTGCCCCCAGGTTAGTATATGTCTTTCTTATACAAGTCTCACTTTTGAGTTCAGCTGAAAAATTACTTGTTCTATCTGCTTTTGAAAGGGGTAGCTGTAATGCCTTTCCCTAGAAAAATACCAGATTGTGAAGAGGAAATAATGATTAATGCCTCTTGAGTGAATAACTCTGACTCACCTAATAGCTACACTATGAAACTCGGGGATTTTAAAAATAACTTCACAAGTCACTGTTGTGATTGAGTGATTCCAGCTTCGAGTGAACAGTCTTGATGAAACTCATCATCATCGTGTGCCTTGGAAAGAGTTTTCTGAAACGTTTCCTTGGGCAGCTCCCCTAGTGCTGCCTTCTCTTGTGCCATTTGTCAGTCCCTTGAAGGAAAGGGCTCAGCACACCACCTTGCTTGTCTGCTGGTGGTTACTTTTGGAAGTCTGTGTGCAAGAAAGAGAGTTATTGGTAAATAGTTGCTAGTCTAGGTTGTGTCCCTGTGGTGTCTGCATTTAAATTTGTAGGCCTGCAAACTTCAGAACCTAAAGAATGGATTGGGTCATCTTTGGGTCCAAGGTAGTGAGTTATACATAGCTTGTATATGTACTGTCACTTCTTCTATATGTTCCTGTAAAATTCCTTACATTAATGAAGTAAGTGGGCAAACACCTCTGTCTTTGAATTTTCTCTAGCAACCTTTGGAAACATCAGAAATTACTGTCAATTGACCTTGATAAAGTGGCACTGCCCAGTTTTCGACAGAACCGACCCCAAGTGAGACCATTGTCCCCCGGAGAAAGTGGAGCATGGGACATTCCTGGCGGTAAATATTGAAAAGTTTGAAAGTTGCTGTTTTGGTTTTGATTTTTGCATAAGCTTTGAAAAAATCCCAAAACACAGCGCAGTCATTTGAGAGGCCACTGTTTATTTTCAGTTGTGAAAAACATGCATATAATAGTAGGGCTGTGTTATAAGAGGCTGTCTGATGAAGATTTGGTTTTGCATATGAATAGTCTATTCAATAGAAAGTGTGCATGACATACTGGGAGGAAGATCTTAGTGGGTGCATTTTGTTAGTTGAGATTTGCTTGGATGCTGTTCAGACTGATGGGTCAGCAGCAGCCCGTCCTCGGGAGCTGTGACCACATACCCACTGCTAATTAAAATTCCTTCTGTGAGTGCACAAAAGCAGAGTCCAGAAGAGCTTGTCAGAATGGTGCCTTGGGCAAGCTGTTACACTAACAAGTGATGTCTAGCACTCAGAACAGCTTTCAGGTGGGCAGCTCTCTTGTACAAGCTTGGCACTGCAGGCCTAGCTGGAAGCAGCTGGAACACCTCATATGTGCTCTTTTCCCAGTCTGAGCTGCTAGGCCAGAGACACCTGTAAAATTAAGGGTTTGTTTTTCTAGCTCATCCTCACTGTATGCACAGTCTCTGGAGCAAGCAAGCATGAAATCACTTTCCTTGTTCCATCAGGATTTGAATTACAGCAATTACTTAGTAGTAAGATTATGGTCAAGTGTCTGCATCTCTCTTCTAACACAAAACAGAAGACTGTTGTTACAGGGGAAATCTGGGCTATGCTTTCATGTGCCCAAATAGGTCAAGGTGGAAATGCTGGTGCTTTTCTGTAGTTAGCATCCCATCTGATTTTCACTAATCGGTCTGCAGCTGTTAATCTTCCTGTCTGAAATGTAATCTGATTAATGGCTGCCTGGGCTTTGAACAAGAGTTAGCGGCAGATCCTTTTGGTAGTGGCATTAGCACCACAAAGCCGTCGTGGCTCACGTGGTAACTGCTGCCTTCCAAACCTCTTTGCCTTTTCTAGGTATCATGCCGGGCCGGTACAACCAGGATGTGGGACAGACCATTCCTGTCTTTGCCTTTCTCGGTGCCATGGTGGTCCTGGCGTTCTTTGTGGTGCAGATCAACAAAGCCAAGAGCAGGCCAAAGAGACGGAAACCACGTGTGAAACGACCGCAGCTGATGCAGCAGGTTCACCCACCAAAGACACCTTCAGTGTGAGAGCTCTGCCTTGCCAAAGATGACCTCCTTGGACTGTTTGCTTTCCAGGGCGATGCATCGCTCCCAGTGGAGGTGCAGCGAATGTGCACCTGACATCATCTCACAGTCTTTGGTTTGTGGAGAGAAAAAAAGAACCTCAGTTGATCATCTGTACATAAAACTGCAGCTTTAAGCAGCTGAAGCCACCAAAGACTTGAATACTGTTTAAATGGCTGCTTAGTCACTACATATCCCAACAGGGGGAAAATGGACCTTTTTTTTAAGCTGACCAAACTAAAATTTATTTGTTTAGAGGCTATTTTCTATATTTATTGTTGGGGAGGGCGGGGGAAAAGTCACTTTAAGGACCTCTGCTAAGGAAAAACAAGTGCATTTTTTTGGATGGAATGCAATTTTCTAGAATGGTATTACGCTGAAGAGTATAACATGCACCATTAAAGGAGGAAGGGACTGAGAGAGACCAGTACAAATCAGTGAGGCATACTCCTGCAGTTTATTTTTATAAAGCCAACTACCATGATGTTTTGTAATTTTTGGTCACGATTTCACCGTTGTTGGTGAAGCAGATTTTTCAATAAATATGTTATCTATATGAAGCAAAGACAACATGCTAAGTGGCTCTTCTTTCCACTTTCAGTCAAAGAGAGTAAATTGTTGGGTAGAGACGATTTTCATGGCACCTCTCTTTCCATCGTATCTTTGTCCTTAACAGCAGTATCCCAAGCTGCAGACTTTCCTTTGGAGCACTAACTGGGCAGTCATACAAACAGTGCTTGCTTTGAGTGAGCACAAAGTTCTAGAAACCTGCAAAACTCAGCAGCACATGATAAGGAGAGAGCTCTCAAAGAGCTGTATAGAAAACTGTCATGGGAGTAGCACCTAACAGCACTATGTGGTGAGATGAAAACCCAGTCTCCTTTGGTTTGTCCTGCTTGAAAGCCCGTGAATTGTCACTGGCTTAAGTAAGGGTGCAGGCACAAGTTTTCCCTGTCTGTTCAGTGCCAGTTAATGTTGCCATAATTGAAATAGCTTCTCTCTTTTGTAGTGAAGCTGTGAGTTTTTCCCTGCCAAACGAGCTTTTTTTTCATTGCTCCAAACGAGCACCTTTTTCTAGGAAGAGCCAGGAGCTGGTGGCTGCCTGTATTTGTGAATGGACAGGTAAGCAGTGTGCACTGGTGAACACTCCTGGGTGAGTTCATGGTCAGCTCTGGGCATTGCTGGAGCAAGAGGAGGCAGCTGGCTGCACCCATCCTCTTAGGGCTTACCAGCATGGTTGGGGGTGGGCTGTGGAAAGTGCACTGCAGGAGAGAGCTTTGCTCCATGTAGTGTGGGACAAGCCTATCCAGGCAGCCATGGATAGGGTTTGGCAGTGCATGAGTGTCCTGCAAAAAAGATTGGGCAAACCAGTTTTCCCTAACATGAAGAGTGGTTGCCTTTTTCCAACATTTCTCTTCTGGAGGGTTCACTAGAACAGGCAAGATCCTGTTGCCATGGCAGAGAAGGTTCTGAGCTTTTGCTTTGGAGACATTAGTGGAAGCTTGTTAGGGCTGAGAAGATGGTCTCATGGTTGAGCTGCTTGTGCCATCCCAGTGGTGCTGGAGCCTGTTGCTCCTCCCTTTCTGAGCATAGATCCATAATGATAAGGGAGGGGGTTTTCAGCAGCTCAGCTATGGCATTAGGATCTCTCATAGGAACAGCCAGCAGAAGCTGTGCAACTTGTCCAGACTAAAAAAATCTATCAGTAAAGGTGTGAAATCTCAAGGGCCAGACCTCAGAAAGGATTGCAGGTAGCAAAGTGTAACTGTGATTAGTGTTTTTATTTGTATGAAACAAGGACTGTCCATTTGCATTTTTTTACCTTCTAGTCTTCAGAGATAATAATGTAGAAAACATTAACAGCCCTTTTTCCACGTGCCAAGGGAACACAGCTGGAGCACCCAGATAAATGGGAGAAAGGGAGGAGAATATAAGGGATAGAGCCCAGAGCCACTGAGCAGAGCAATTGTCTGAGGCTGCTGTGTTGGTGTGGGAGATGAGTTGCCCTTCTTTGGTTTGAGATTCTTCATCAGAGGGAGACTGGAAGGCTTTGGTGACACTTTCTCAGGTCGATGCTAATGAGGAGACTTGCTCCTCATCACAGGACTAATGAGAGATTAGAGCTCTCCTATAGCCTTGAAACCAGAATCAAGCTGTATCAAAGCACCAGTCTGAATTAAGAACCTTTCCCAGTGGCTGGTATTTTACAGCCCAGTGGCCAATTTCTAAGTCATAGAGGCCAATTATTTCTGAAGCCTTTGGTGTGCAGCTAATGAAGGCTTGGAAGGGCCCTTCTAAGTGTTTATAAGCCCTGCAGGCGGCAGAGATGTAATGGAGGTGGCAGGCACAATTAGCCATCCATAATTCCTCCTAGCAGCTGATTAAAGTCTCTTTATCCGTCTTACCAAGATCAGAAGGGCACATATTTGGGAAATCAAAAATGCATTAGAGGCTGTCAGCCAACGCCAGGGCCTGGGGCAGTGGCATGTGCCAGGAGTGGCACGAGCTGCTGTGTGTCCCCCATGTAGGGAATGGGCCCCTCATTCCTGTGGGGTGCAGCCTTCTCTGTGCAGGTCCTCTGCAGCATCAGTCACCCCATCCTGTTATCCTGGCATCCCCTTTGCTCGTGGGAAGCAGGGAGTGGGATGGGATGGGATGGGATGGGATGGGATGGGATGGGATGGCTCCTCTCCAAAGTCTCCCAGTGCAGAAGAGCACCAGTGGGCTTTTATCTGCTGCGGAGACACGCAGGGGTGCTGGCCTCATCCTGCACCCAGCAAGTTATGAGAGGTGTGAGCTGTAGCTGCCTTCCATCACTCTGTTATTGCCCCTTGGTGGCAATTTGATGCCTGGGTCAACAGAGCAGGATGAGGAAGGCCCTGTGGTGATAATTTCGGTGACAGTGAGAGGACGAGCCTCCAGCCCGCCTGCCCGGCCCCGCGCTGGGAGCCGAAGGTGCTGCTGTGTTCTTTAGGAGCGCTCAGAGCGCCGGGGATGCCGCGGGGCTGTGAGCTGTGAGCAGGACTGGGCTGGCCCCGGCTGAGCTCCTGCCGGGGGTTTCCCACGGCGCCTCCCGCCCGTCCCCCGGCGCCCCCTCCCCACGGTCCCCAGGGGGGCGGGGGGTCCGCGCAGCCCCGCGCCGCCCCCGGGGCCCTGCGGAGGGGCCGCGCTCCGCCGCCCGCCCGGCACAGCCGTGCCGCGATGGAGCGGGCGGCGGCCGAGGCCCGGCCGCTGCTGCCGCCCGCGGGGCGCTCCGCCGGGCTCTCCCCGCCCGGGCTCTCCTCCGCCGGCGCCGTCTTCATCCTGCTCAAGTCTGCGCTGGGCGCGGGGCTGCTGAGCTTCCCCTGGGCTTTCGGCAGGGCTGGCGGGGCCGTCCCCGCCCTGCTGGTGGAGCTGGTAAGGGCGGATCGGGCGGCGAGGGGCTGCGGCAGAGGGAGCCGACGGGGAAGGCGCGGTCCGGGGAGGGACGGGACGCACCTGCTCGGGTACCTGGGGAGCTTGGCGGGGACCCCCTTGGCACGGCACCCCCGGCTCGACCCCCGCAATCCTTGCGTTTATTGTTGCGCTGCCACTTTCGGGATGCTCTTTGCAGCTGGCTTGTAGCTCAACACAAAGTAAATGAGTGTCTGCTCCCGTACGCCCCCCAAAACCCCAAATCTAAAGCCAAGATATCACATAAGGCTGTGTCTCCATCCTTCTGCTGACCTTTGGTACCCAGGCCATAAGGTGATCTGGCCGGTAACCTGGCCGTGGGCCTGCTGGGTCCCCTTGTGCTCTGGGGGTGCTGGAGGCTCGGCGCGGTGCTTCCTGCTGGCTCTGTCGCGCAGGGCTCGCTGGTGTTCCTGGTGAGCGGGCTGGCCGTGCTGGGCTATGCCGCGGCGCTCAGCGCCCAGCCCACCTACCAGGGCGTGGTCCGGGCCGTGTGCGGGGCGGCCGTGGGGAAGCTCTGTGAGGTCTGCTTCCTCCTCAACCTCTTCATGATCTCCGTGGCCCTCCTCAGGGTGGTGGGCGACCAGCTGGAGAAACGTGAGTTGTTTCTCCTCACTGTGTTTGGGGCTTGCTTGGGCCCTGCAGCTCTCAGGAGTGAGGGCAAGGTGGTTCCACGTGGGCTGGGGTCACCCCCAGAGTTTTCCTGGAAATTCTGAGGACATGGGGCTCCCTGGTTCTGCCATGGTGTGATGCTTCCGACCTCCTTGGGGCATCTTTCAGGGCGCAGCTGACCCTCTGCTGCCCCCCACAGTGTGTGACTCCCTGTACCCCAATGGGACACTGAGTGGGGCCCCCCAGCTGCCCCCCTGGTACGTGGACCAGCGCTTCACCCTCTCAGCTCTCTGTGTCCTCGTCATCTTCCCGCTCTCAGTTCCCAGGGAGATCGGCTTCCAGAAGTACTCCAGGTACCACCTGGGCTATCCCTGTGATGGCCCACCCCTAAGTACCCTGTACCCCAGGTTACCTCCTCCCAGGACCCTGTGGGGCCATGGGAGCCTCCTTCTTCCCTTCCTCCCGGCTGTATGCTGATGTTTTCCCATGCCCTGACAGCATCCTGGGCACACTGGCTGCCTGCTACCTCACTCTGGTCATCGTCCTGAAGTACTACCTGCAGGGAGAGAGCCTGCGTTTGACTGAGCCCCCCCAGCCCTCCAGGTAGGAGGGTCAGCCCCATGTCTCTCCTGCCCTGAGCTCCATGGCATGAGCAGTGACATGGGACAGGGCTGGAGGCAGGGCAGGGGTGGCACTGGGTACTGTGTGTGGTGGGGGTGAGCTGGGGACAACTCACAGTGGATGGTAGCTCCCAGCCCCAGCTTTCACCCCAGCAATACCCCTTTCTCCCGGAATCATTGCACAAGAGATTCCGTGTTTATGACATAAAGGTTTCTTCTCCATGAGAGCCTCATGCCCTTTGCTCTGTGCTTCCTCTCCACATGCCACAGGTCCTCCTCCTGGACCTCTATCTTCAGTGTCATTCCCACCATCTGCTTTGGCTTCCAGGTAGGTCACACTCTGGTCCCAGCTGCCAGGGCAGTGCTGGCAGCCTCCCATGGCATCAAGGGCAGGTTGCAGGGAAGGGGACCTGTAGTTGTCACCAGAGGTGGCTGTGGGGCCTGGGAATGGAGCAGAGTGGGACAGGGCACCCATAGGTGGGAGAGAGGATGCTGGGGGTGGGGGCTGTCCCTGCATGGGGCCCCAGCACCATCCCCCCTTGCCTTGCAGTGCCACGAGGCATGTGTGGCCATCTACAGCAGCATGCGCAACCAGAGCTTCTCCCACTGGGTCACCGTCTCTGTGCTCTCCATGCTCATTTGCCTGCTCATCTACTCCCTCACTGGTAACCCCAGCGCCAAACCCTTCACTCCTCCTTGCCCTGGGGGTCTCCTCTCCCTTTGGCTCATCCATCCTCCTCAGAATTCCCCTGTCCTGCTCGATGCACGGCCACCCACCCCCACTCCCTGTCAGCAGGGCTCTATGGCTACCTGACCTTTGGCGAGGCTGCAGCGTCCGATGTCCTGATGTCCTACCCAGGGAATGACCCGCTGGTCATCGTTGCCCGCCTGCTCTTTGGTGTCTCCATCGTCACCATTTACCCCATTGTGGTGCTGCTGGGCAGGTGAGGGGAATGGTGACAAACTGGGTGTCCCCCCAGCCAATGCAGCTCCCCTGGGTGCCATCAGCCCCCCAATCCTCCCTCCCAGATCCGTGGTGAAGGACTTGTGGGCAGCTCCAAAGCGCGGGGCCGCGGCAGTGTCTGAGGCACACGAGCGGAGGAGCAGGGTGGCCCTGACGGTCACCTGGATGGCTGCCACCCTGGGCATCGCCCTGTTTGTCCCCGACATCGGCAAAGTCATCGAACTCATCGGCGGCATCAGCGCCTTCTTCATCTTCATCTTCCCAGGCAAGAGGAGGCACGGGGAGGGAGGAAAGCCATGGGGGATCACTGGTGCATCACTGTCCTGGCCCCATTTTGGGGGTGCAGGGCTGTGCTTGTGGGGGACAATGCTGGGGGGCTGGGTGAGGGGTGCTGGTTTGGGGCTGAGCTTCTGCACTGACAGCAGGGCTGTGCCTCGTGTGCATGACTGGGACCCACAGCCTCGGGCCACGCAAAAAGTGAGTGTTCAACAGTGGTGGGGGAAAGGGAAGGGGCAGGGCGTGGTATCCCATGGGCTGTGGCCCAGGCAGATCCCTGAGGGTCATCCTGGTCAAGGTGGGACTCCTGCAAGGAGGGGGATTTGGGTGTGGAGGGAAGTGCTCTACTGGGACAGTGCCTGGGAATGACTGTGTCCAGGCATCAAAGAAGTGCCCAGGTACTCGAGTGACTTTAGGGGCAGAAGAGATTTTGGTGGCACTGGGGTACCCAGTGGGAGCTGGGGTGGGGTCAGGTTGGGGGTCAGAGGGGCAGGGTGCCCCAAGGCAGGAGTTCATCGGGTGTTGGGTGTCTGTTGTGCCAGGGTGGTGTGTCCCCATCACCACTCAGGGTGACCTGACATGGTGCTGGTGAGTTTTGGGATAAGTATGTGCTTAAGTGTGTCTGTGGTGCCTCTGGGGAAGCAGCAGAGTCAGGGATGATGGAGGTTATGTGGTGGGTAGCACCCCAGGATATTGGGGTCTTGGTCAGGAGGGTGCTCTGGGGAACTGTGAACATCTGGGGAGGGGTGAGGGTGCCAAAGTGCTGGAGGGGCCAGGGCAGAAGGTCAGCAGGGACACCCAGGTGGGTGACAAAGGCTTGAAGAGGTCCCTTGAGGAGACCTCCCAGAACATGAGCCCATCATGAGGAGAGGGGACAACACGAGCTGGGGCGATGGAGACTGCAAGGAGACAGTCTGGGACGGAGCACGGTGCTGAGAACCCTGCGACAGAGCAGCAGCCGGGTTTGGGGTGAGTGCTGCATCCCAGGGGCTTAGCATGGGGGGCTGCGTGCCTGGGGAGGAGGGAACAGGGAGGTACTGACCCAGGGGATTGGGGCTGGAGCCAGGGAGGGGACAGGGCTGGAAGGTTGTGGTGATGGGATGGAGCTGGGGGTGTGTGGGAGTGGCCGTGCCCGAGCACTGGGTGGGTGGGTGGGGGTCTCTGCTCCTTCGGCAGGGCCACTGGGCACAGGCAGAACTGGGAGTGATCTCGTGGTGGCCTCTGCTGGCTTTTTGACCAAGGTTTGTGTGTCATTGCAGTGGAGACTGGGGGTGGCCCAGAGGGGCTGCTGGGCTCTTCAGCCATCGACTGGGAGCGATGCAGAGGAGCAAGGCAGAGGAGGCTGACCCTGCAGAGAGCTGGGGTACAGGGCTGGCCTGGTTCGGAGGTCAGCTCTACCCCCCAGCCTCTGCTCGTGTCGCTGCAGGGCTGCTCTCATCGCCTGGGGCGTTCTCTCCGTTCTTGGTGGTGCCTTTGTGTGCGGGCAGAGCGCTGCCCTGGCCGTGCTGGGGCTGCTGCACTGAGGGACCACAGAGCCCCACCGTGACCCCACCGTGACCCCACTGTGACCCCCCGCCATCCTGGCCCGAACACAGCCACACCACTGATCCCATGGTGGTTTTATTTGGCATCACCGTCGCCGTTGTACAGTGGCTAATAAAGACAGGAGAGGGTATTGGCAAGGGTCCTGTGCCACACACCCTGAGGGACCCCCACACACGGCGGGGTGGGTGTGGGATTAGCACAGACAGACAGACACACAGACAAAGTACAGACCCCAGGAAGGAGGGGAGGCAGCCACCCTCACGTCTGCAAGGCACCAGCTGCAGCTGTGCACATGCAAAGGAAACCCCTTGGGACGCCCACAGCTGGAAAGGACTAAGGGGCGACTTGGGAACAGGGAAACCCCCCCCTCTGCCACCACCCTGACTCTCCTCTAGTCCCCATCCCTGCAGGCACACACACACTGCACCTGGCACAGCCTCAAGCTCCCCTCTCTCCTCCCTGGGTGGCCCCTGGGGACTTGCACAGACCCCCAAACTACTCCCTGCTTTCAGGGGGGCTTCAGCCTCCCACCTCCCACTCCCATTCCTCCTTCCTAGTGCCTGCCTGCACCCATTGCCCCCCTCCCTATGTCTGGGGGATGTCCCCCTGCCCAAACCCTGCCAGCCCCTCCCTGGCAGTCTTTCCCCCGAGACCACCCCACACGAGGGAGAGATGATCCAGGTGATGGGGTGGCTGAGGGAGGACTCTGGGGTGGGGGACACACACATGGGGGTTTCCTTCACTGCAGCCAGGTCACACTGACACCTCCCGAAGTCACAGCCACCCTGCAGAGGGGACAGGTGCTGGTGGGCTCCAGCACTGACGGTCACTCTCGGCTCAGGGTGCACCAGGCAGCTGCAGGGGAACATCACTGGAGGTCACACCTGCCCAGCCCCACGTCACCCTCACCCCCAGCGAGCCCAGCCAGCTCAGCCCGTGCTGTGCCACCTGCCCACCCTTGCTCTCCAACAACTGGAGAGGTGCTGGCTGCCCAGGGGTCCCTGTCCCCCACCCTCTGAGGTGGCTGTCCTCCTACCTGGCACGGCCACGCTGGAGATGGCCTCAGGCTGGCTGAGCGTGTCCACCTTGACATGCTGGAAGCTCTTGCAGGTGGCACTCTGCAGGTGTCTGTGCCCCGGTGGGAGAGAACGGGTGACACCCAGCCCCCCAGAAACACCTTCCCAGCCCCCACAGCACCACGGGCTCTGGCAGGGCTGAGTGCCAGCAATCCTGCTTGTGCAGAGCACCCTGCCTTGGTTCAGGACACTGACCCCTCCCATTACCACATCCAAAGGCACTTCCAGGTGGGAGATGTAGAGAGACCCACCCCAACCCACCTGTCCTGTTTACAGGGACAGCCCTAGGACAGACAGACAGCTCCTCAGTCCTGCCATCAGACAGGGACAGAGCTTGGGGTTCAGCTGCCCTAACAACCCTCCACACCCAAGCATCCAAAAATAGGATTTTCATCCCCTCCCCTACCTCTTCCAGTCCTCCTCGGTCTCCCAGAACTCGTAGACGATGAAGGTGACCCCATCAGGCAGCTTCACTGCAGTGACACTGACAGAAATGGGGAGAGGGGGTGAGCCCCCAACATGGGGCATCCCTCCCCCCTCTGCAGCCACAGGTGTGCTCTAGGGTGGGCTACTGAGGGGGGACCCAGCCCCAGCAGCTCAGGTAGGGGTAGCCCACCCCCAACCCCCACCCCATCCCAGCACTTCCCAGCCATGCAAAACTCTGTTGGTGGCTGAGCATGACTACATCCCAAATCCTGGCTGTTTTGCCTCAGTCCTTCACTTGGTCCTCACTCCAGCCCCCTCCAAGCCCCCCACCTCCCCAGCCCCTGGCATGCAGCTGCTGGTGGTACCCACTGGAAGCAGTCCCGCTCCCCGGCCACGCTCTTCAGGTACTGCTTCAGGGAGCTGCAGAACTCGCCCAGGTGCTTGTGTGACACTGTCATCTCATTCCTCACCAGGAGCAGGTACTGCCAGGCCCCAAACACAGCATGAGAGACCCACAGAAACACAGTGACCCCCCCCAAGAGTGGCTCTGTGCTGCAGGGGCACCCCAGCACCCAGGGGTGGTGGTCGGGCACACTCACCGTGCAAGCCGTGCTCTCGCTGTCCGACAGCCGCTGGTGCAGGTCAAACCACAGCGTCTGGGGAAAGGGGAATGAGCAGCAGAGGGGGTGGTGCATTGGCTGAGGCTGCCTGTCCCTCTCTGCTTGGTGGGTGTCTGTCCCCAGCATTTGCAATGACAGCGTCCCCTTCTCTACAGGGAATGGGCTCCAAGAGCTGCTTGCACCTCCAGTCAGGAGCCTTTGCAAAAGTTCCCTGTGCTCCCATTGCAGCCAACATCCCCAACACCACACGCTCATCCCTGCCCCAAAACAGCTGGGGCGAGGTCCCTGAATTGTCCCTGGGATGGCAGGAGAGCCCCACGCAGGAAAATGCTGGCTCTTACCTTGTCCTCCAACTTGCCAATCAGCTTGGCCAGCCTGTTGATCTGCCCCTCCAGCCCCTCTGCCTTGGTGTCAGGGGAACCTGCACAGAGCCAGGAGGCAGTGATGGAGTGAGGGGCGCCTGCAGGCACCCCCTGAGAGCCCTGTGCTGCTGCTGGGACTTGAGTGCTCCAAGCCACCCCACGCAGCCAGCACTTACCAGCCTGGAAGCTCTTTCCTTGCTCCCTGGGGACCATCCAGGTGGTGGGAGGGTAGCTGGGCACAGGGTTGTCATACCAGGTGTCACTCAGGCCATGACCATCCTTGCTGGGGTAGTGCCTGCAACCAGAGAGCACACAGGGTGTCAGGACAGCAGAGCTGGGCACACACGGAGTGGCAGGAGCCAGCCCTGGGCCGTCCTTTCTGGCAGCTCTGCCAATGATGCCAGACCCCTTGGAGAGCAACAGTGCCCACACTGTCCCCAGGCAGTGCAGCTTCCTTCCTGCACCATCCTTTGGCATCAGCCAGTGTGGGGGGCAGGCCAGAAACAGAAGAATGTCAGTGGGCTGCTCCCAGCAGCCATCACTTTTTCTTTCCTGCTTATGGAACAGCAAAGCCCTCCCGGCACCACCAGCAGCCTTCAGGGACTTTTTCTGTCCTAGACAGACACCTGCAATGTGAGCAGGGGGGATTCAGACCCCTCTCTCTTTTCTCCTCCACCAAGAGGAAGCCTGCACCACAAAGGGAGAGGCTGAGCAGCTCAAAGGATTTGCAGTGTTTCCTTCCAGAAAAAGCAGCTCTGTGCCAGCTGTTGACAGAGGTGCCTGGGACCCCCAGCTCCTCTTGGCATCTTTTGCTAGTCAAGCAGCTCCCAGCTGGAAACAACATTCTGATTGTCCTGGAGCCAGTGGGCACCACACCAGCCAGCATCTCCCTGCCCTCCTGTCCCTCCCCTGGCACCTGGCTCCTCCAAAGCACAGTTCCTGGGTTCTCTTTCCCCAGCTACCCCAAAAATCAGCCAGTGTGGGCTCCACCATATACACAGGAACACAATGTGCAGATCCCGTCCCAAAGAACATCTCCAAGAAAAGGAAGCAGGAACAAAATAAAGGCTGCAGGAGCATCCCTTTGCTACAGGCCGTGCAATTATAACACTGCTGGGCCTGGACAATCCCCTGTCAATAGACAGGAAATTAGGCAAAACCAGAGATTTATTTTAATCACAATTTAATGAGGTGTCTCCATCTTGGACCTCTGCCTTCACACTTTGTTCTACAGCCTTTTATTTTCGTGCTTTTTAGGCCACCTCTTTGTCTTCATGTAGATGCAGAAGATAATTTTTTGTGGGATTTATTTTTCTTTTTAGCTGTTATCTTCATGAGAAAACAACTACAATACTCCCTATTATGATCTGGGCCCACACATCAGCAAATAAAACCCAGAAAAGTCTTTCATGGGCTCTAATTGCTCTGTTTGATGTTGGGTTTGTTTCCTCTTCATTGTTTTTCAGGAGCTCCTACTTCTTTTTGTATAAGGTTTGCCATAAAACAAGAGAAGAAAGAGATGTGAGATGATGAAACCCACAGCATTCTTGCTAGAAAAGCTGGTGGGATGGTGGCAGAGCTGCCCAGGTCTCACTGTGCTCCACAGAGTCTGTCTTAGGAGGGAGCTGGGATTTTCACTCTCCACGTGCCCCTCTGCCTGCCCAAGGCTCGGGGAAACCAAAACATCCCCGTGCAAGCCCGGTTTGAAGGAGTGGCAGGAGAAGGGCTCGTTCTGTGAGCATCTGACAAACAGACGGGTTTCCATGGCAGCCTGTCCTGGCTCCAGCTGGTGACAGTGGCACCGAGGGGGCTGTGCTGAGGTTTCACCTCTGCTGCTGGGAACGCCTTGCAGCTCAGCCCTGGCAGCACTCAGGAAATCTTGAAAGGGTCTCCTCTGCATTGCCCGAGCTCAGTGGCACATGCTGGGCTGCTGGGCTGCTGGGATGGGGACAGCTCCTCATGAGACCAGGGGACAGCATCGCCTGTGCTCAGACAGGTGTCCTCAGACAGGTGTCCTCAGTGCATACGCACCTTTTTCCTCGGGATGATTGCACTCGCTGAGCGCTCTGGCAGGACGAGCACGTCCCTGCCTCAGGAAGCTGCCCCTGTGGGCTGTCCCCAGCTCAGCTCAGGCACAGCCACCCCTCTGCAGGTGCCTGTGTTTTGCCCTGGGTGGGTTTGCCCAGAGAGGCAGCCCCATGCACCCAGCGCTGCCCAGCCCCGTGCCAAGGTTTGGGGTTTGCATCCCCCCACACCTCTCTGGTTAACGGGACCCTGGGGACGGCAGGAGAAAAGCCCCCAGAGTTCAGGAAGCCGGGAAGGGAGGCAAAGAGAAAGGCAGCCACTCTCCCAGCTCCCCTTTGCTCCTGCACAATGCCTGCTGCGTTTCGCTCACCCCACAGAAGCATCCTCCTCCTCCTCCCCCTCCACCCTCCTGTACCAGAGGACAGCGGGAGTGCTGCAGACCTGGCGGGGTTGGTTTGCTCGTCGATGGCATCCACAGCACTCTCCACGGAGCTCAGCAGGGACTGGGTCTGGTTCGCCGTCTCCTTCAGCAGGAAGCGAGTCACGAACTGGTCCACGTTGCTGCCGCTCTCGTACACCTGCAGGGGCACACGGTGAGTGCTGGGGTGAGCACACAGCATCACCAGCCCCTGGGCAGTGCAGCACCTGCCCAGCATCCCACGGACAGGCTGCTCCCCTCCACTCCCTGCCATTTAAAGACCCAAAGCCCGCAGTTGCTCCCTTCAGCATGATCTTAAATTACTTTGCTGTATCCTTGCAGCCAATAAAAGTGCATCCTGTGCTTTGGAGATCCCCACTCAGAGTTCAGCAGTGCTCTAGTCCACAATGGTATGGCCAACCCAGCACTAAAGTTAAAGGGGTTTGGGGTGATTTACAGGGCTCAATGTGCTGTTTGACTGACAGAAGCTCCCAGGGTAATATGAATTTTTTCGAAACAAATAACACTTAAAATATTTTAATAGAACAACTGATCTGCATGAAGCACCCAGGGTCCCTTTCCCAGCACAGCCTTGTTGAGCCCAGCCCATGGCACAGTCCTGCTCCTACATCTCCTGACAGTCACCAGAAGAAGTGGGACACAACCAGATGGACACTGGCACAGCCTGTCCAACACTGACCCAACCAATCCAGCATTGGTTCAACACCACTCTAAGCAGTTCAGCATCAGCCCAAGCAGCCCAAAGCCAGCCCAGTGGCCACTGAGCTCACCAGCTCTGGCTGAAGCCAACCACTCAGCATCAGAGCTGAAAATAAAGGCTCCTCTAAACCCAAGCTCATCAGCACCACTTTCCCACCCATCAGTGCCTGCTGGGACAGCACATTTCCCAGGAAAAACCCTGCTGGGCAGTCTGTCCCTGTGTGCTCACACCTCCTGGCATGGGACTCCTCTGGGAGGAGTTCATGAATTTTTGGAGCCATGAGACACGGGTGGATGCTCCTGGCTCCCTGCATTCCATCAGCAATGACCACACTCAGGGGACTGGAGTGGTCCCAGCACCACTGGTTATCTGAGCTTGCAGCAGCACAGCATGAGCACCCCAAGCTCCCCAAAGCAAATTATTCCTGTTTTATGGTGAAGTTATTACCAAGGGTTATTTCCATGGCAACTGGAGCAGCTCTGCAAGAACCCAGAAGGCCTTTATCTCAGCCTTTATCTCCCATATTAAATCATAAAAGAAGAATGAGCTGATAGAAAAAACCCTTTGGGAAAACTGATCACAGAGCTGATTTCTCACCCCTGGTTTGGTATGGAAGCACTAGCACTAGAACTGGCACTAGTTCTTGACGGCTTCTTGAGCATCCAATTAGGAGCAGTTAATGACTTCTGCCTAACACAAGACAACTTGCTCCTCTTCCTATTGCAGCCACAGTGTTTCTGGGGGACAGGCACCACATGGGGATCCTCGGCAGATGATGGTGCACAGTGAGGTGATGGTGATGCTGAAGCTGTGAGAGTTTGTGTAGTTAAATGTTGGATTTTTTATTACCTAACCACAGCCTATAATCTTGGTTCAGCTTTATGAAAAATCAAACAGGTGATTCCCACATTCATTTAAATCAGTTTAACTCCCTACATACAGATTCAATGGATGGATGGATGGATGGATGTCAGGTACAAAGCTATTCCAGCCAGTGCAGAGAAAATTGGAGTGTTTGTGAAGATCTGATGCTTTTTGACAGGCCAGTAAGTCAAATAGATCTGAAATCAAAACAATAGTGATTTTTTTTCTTCCAGTTAACAAACAGGCCATTTGCCAACTCAGCTGTGACATTTGCTCTCAGGAGCTGAATCAGAAATGCATGTTCTTATAGGTTTTCTCAGCAACTCCTCACACTCCCCTCTACCTCTCTTCTCTCCTCGTGTCTTCTTCAAGGTTGCAAAAACAAACATTAAAAAGACCAGCTACAAAGGGATCCTTCCCATTCTCTTATTAAAACATTTGTCATAATATCCTAGTGAGATTTAATGAGGTTTGGTCTTATTAATTCCACCTTGAAGAGTTATTTCCTCCTTGCTTAGCTTGAAAGTAAAAATATTTATGGAGATGGTATAATCATTTCTACTCAATGAAGATGCTTTGTGCCAGAAACTCTTTTACATCTCCAAGCCTGCTCTTTTCCATCCATCATTTCCAGACAAGCTCTTTGCTGAACTGCCTGGCCTTGACCTCTGCTGCTGCAAACAGGTGGCTGTGCGTGTTTGCAATGAGCAGAAAGTGTAAAAACATCATTGAAAGGATGATATTTGTGTGTTGATGGCTCTCAGCAGAGCCTCAGAAAGCGTCGTGATTTCACAAAGCAGGAAATGAAAGAGAGACATTTAGAAATGAGAGAAGAGAGGGAAAATGACAGCTTGCATTATGGGGGAAGTATTGCCCAGGCTGGGTCTCTGGTCAGTGGGCTGAGGTCCAAGCCCCAAATCCACCCTCCTCCTTCACATCCCAGGCTTTTCACGTGCCTGTAAGGCACCTTCCCACACACGGTGGCAGCCAACAGAGAGGCACAGTCTGCTCAAAGCCCCACCACAGCTCTTCCAGCTTTTCATTTCCACATGCACCCACCCAAAACTGCCCGAATTCTGGCACAGATTTATGAAAACACCCCTGGGATGTGTTACTTGTGCAAAGCATAACTGGGATTTTGATGCTGTTGAGTGCTTGGATTTGCCAAGCAAGTGCCAAGTTTCCCTCAGCAGACACTGCAAATGGATGCCTAAAAATGGGCTCTCGTGGCCATGTCCTTGTGGGTATCAAATACTGGGGAAGGAGAGCTTTAATGCTGTTGAACATCTCAAAGCTTCTTTGCTGGCATTTTTAAAGGTCACTATTCGGCTCATTAAGACTACAGGATGTAAAATATAGATTATTTTGCACCACCCACGAACTTGGAGACCCACTGTGACCTCTCCACATCTTCCCTTTGCCTCACAGGGTTACAACCTGACCAAGGAGGCTTCCCAGCGCTGCCGTTCAGCAGGACTGCCCAAATTGGCTGACAATTACCATGCCTGGGGACATTGGTGACTTCTCCAACTGTTCATAACCACAGTCCAAGCCCACCCACAGAGTGATGCTGCCGAACTGAGAAGGCTTTTCAGCTGGAAACCAAAGGCAACTCTGTTTCACCCACACTTTTCCTCCAGTTAAAAAAACAAAACCTGACAACAAACCTATTGCCATGCCATAAAACACCCATCAAGCCTCATCCTGGGATGATGGAGAGGTTATCTTCCACCCACCCAGCCCTTTAAAAACCAGGCATGTGTTGCACTGTAATCTCTGAGTGGCTGATTTAAATTCGTTGCTCATAATTGCCTGTTTGCTTCCAAGAGATATTTTCTTATAATTAAAATAACACTCAGACCTGCCTCTTTCTCCTTTCCCTCCCCCCGACTTTTAAATCCCTTCCAAAGCAGAGACCCAAAAGTGATTGCCTGGCACATAATCAGTAGGAGAAACCTGAAGAGAACAGGCATTTAAATAGTTGATAAATGAAAGCATTACCATATGAAAGACCCTCAGCCTTCCCGAAACAGCTCTAAAAACTAAAATGAGACACCTGTTCTGATTTTAAAAATGACAACAGCATCATATGGATTTGAAAAGTGTTTTGCTATAAAATCCTCCTTTTGCAAATCTCAATGTTGGACTCATCTCAAGCTTACCTTGTGTGGTCCTGAAGATCTCCTGCCATGGACCCTTCCCAAGCAATTCACCACAGGACTTCTCTATTCTCACTATTAGAGAGCCTCCCTGCTGCACTGGAATCCCATCATTTCAGGGATGTGAAGGGCAAGTATCTGCTGTGCTGCACATCCCCGAGGTCACCTGTGGACCCAGAGTGGTCCCTTTGCACCCTGTCCTCTCACCCAGCAGGCAAAGAACAGCGTGGCCTCCTGCTCCTCAACACCCTGCTCTAATCAGCCTTTTGCTCCACACATGTTCCTAATTAGCTGTGTTTAGTACCCACAAAGCAGCATTTCATACATATTTTATTTCAGTTTTCCAAGGAAAGTGCAGATTTTGTTTTCCAAACAGGACCTGCTCAAAGGACCCTGCAGATGTAGCAGTGTGGGAGGGTCAAGCTGCTGAAGGCTCAGCCTGGCTCTGCCTTTCCCTCTGGTGGCTCCTTCAAAGCTGCTCTCGGACTACTTGGCAAAACAACAGCACTGACACCTGCACCATACAACCCACCTAAATTCCAGGAGCAAAATGGGAGAGAAGAGGAGGAAAACTACGTCCTACAGGAGGTCCGTGAGAGCTGGAGCCGGGACAGCACAAGCAAGACCTCCAGAGAAGATGTTCTTCCTTTTCAGAGAAAATGCAGGGCATGAACTTTGTAGTGACAGACAAACAGAAGAGCAGCAAATGAGGATCTTAATCTAAAAATAAATTCCAAGACAGACCTTAAGATTCATCTCCCTGCCAGCCCCTCTCCCCACAGTCTGGCAGCCCAGCTGGATCTCATGCACAGCCCTGCAGAGCTGGCAGGAAAGTGGCTCCGGATGGCATCACATGGAGAAGAGGCTTTCTGGTCTGGAGTCTGACCAGAAAAGATGGGGAAAATCCAGTTCTTGCAGAACTGAAGCAGCACATTTCGTTTTAATTTGTGGTGCAATATTTTCTTAAATTAGTTTCAGAGAAGAGTTGCAGAAATATTTTCAGAGAAGCTAAACAAGAGCACCTCGTTTCTTTTCAGATTGTTCTTCAACTATGAAGTTCCACAACTTTCCTAGAGATCAGCATCTGTTTTTTTGCTATAGAAATTGATACAGAAATTGTTCAGAAATGTGTCATTCAAAACACATGGAGAGTTGACTCATCCTTTACCAATCCACTGACCCATCACCACGCTTCTCTTTTTTCAGCCACAGCCATTCACCATGATTGCTTCTTTAACTGCATCACAGGAGTGTTTCAGACCTGGCTGTGCTGCACTGCAGTGACATCCCTCAGGCTTCAAACCCAGACCAGAGATCTTCAACTCTTGTTCATTTAACCACCATGAGGCAAGGCCAGAACATGAGCTCGCATTTTCTGGGCTGGACACAACCCAGAAGTGCCACCACTGTGCTGCTGTTCCACCCTGCCACGGGTCCATCACCTGACAGGGCACAGCCCTGCCCCAGGACCCTGACACCCTCAGGGTGAGCACCAAGTCCATTCAGCAGAGCAGGAGAAAACCTGCTCAAGTTAAATGAAAGGCTGAGATAAAGGATTAGCTGGAGGATGGGAGGAAAAGGTTCTTTTTGAGGATTATTTCTAGCTACTATTTTATCTCGAGGTGTCATCGTTCAAAAAAGAGCAATATCACTTTTGGCAAGCTTAAGTTTGGCAGGTAAGAATGCAAATAAGAACACTCTATATTGCTGATCTGGGCTGTGCTGTAAAACAAAAAATACCATCCACCATTTTTAGCATCCAAGACTGCTGGCAGATGGTTCCTGCTCTGGGGCTGTAGCTGAGCTGCTCAAACAAGCACAGTTTGCTGCTGGGGGCTGAAAACTGGGGGAGCCCCATGGCCAGCCTGGCACCTGCAGCAGGGAGAGGACATTTGCTGCAGCACCTCCACTGAGCTCCAGGAGCCCAGCATCTCCTGTTCACTGCAATTACATCTCATAAGGCAGAGACAAGAAGGATGGATTGCTGCAGGAACAATTTAACTCAAAAATAACATGAAAACCTATTCAACTGTACCTAGATACCTCTGAGGTCCCTACTGCTGCTGGAGCAGCTGCAGCTGGTGTTGAAGGTCACTGCACTCAGTTTTCCCTTTATGATTTGCATATTCTCACATCCGAGTAATGAATTTTAAGGAGAAAATGCATTTGCAGCTGCTTTGGGTACACTGCCAGCCTATATGACACATGTGGTGTTTGGCACTCTGACAGAGAAGGCTCTCAGGGAGTGTGTGTTGTGTCACCTCTTGGTCATATTTCCTTTCCAGGTCCATAAATGAGATAACAGAGACTGGCAGCAGAGCAACCAGTGAGCAGACAAGGAGTAAAACACTGTCTTTCACATCTCTGCTCTCCAGGACCAAAGGTGATGCTGAACACCAGCAGTGGCTGGTCCAGGCCCACCCTCAGATCCTCAGGGCAGCCCCATAAATCCTTCCTGCTATACCCTACTCTTCCCTGCAGCCAGTCTCATTCTGGCATGTGCATGGGCAGTTGCAATTTCAGCTCCAGTTTTGGGTAATTTTGTTTTCCAAGTGCTCTCCTTCCATCTGGGACAGGGCACACCAAGGTCAGTCTCCAGTGCTTCTTGGACTCATCTGCTGCCAACAGGAGCATCCCCAGGAAGGAATGATTTGACTTTAAATCTGAGCTGCTTCATCCTTAAAAATATTCATCACTCAGCATTTTTTTGGATTTCTTTGCAGCTTGCTTTTAAAGTTTGCCTCACCACTTAAGGTCACTTTGCTGATGCTTCCGTGGTCTGTCCTGCAAAATGCTTAATTGGCAGAAGCTGGAAGCAGGAGCAATCCCAGTGCAGCTGGCAGTGGAAACTGGACCTGTCAGGAACAAGGCTAATTGAGCCTCTCAGGCTCAAAACCCCACGCTGTTTTTTAACCAAGCTAAATCACATTTCCCAGGCTGTCTGGGTGAGGGTGGGCAGTGGTAACCACCACCTCTGCCATCCCCAGGCACTTCCCCTGTCACCCCCAAAGCTGACAGGGGTGGTGGAAGCGCTGGGTGGGCACTGTCCCCTGAGGAAGGGGACTCGGTGACCCAGGGGGAGGGACAGCACCAACCTGGCTCTGCTGGCCCAGCTCCCACCACGCCCCACACCCTCTGACACTGGACACAAACCACGTCCTGCCCACTCATGTCGGTTTTGGTGTTTGCTGACTGCACTGTACAACACTACAAGAGAATTATAGAGGAACATCTCCTGCTGTCAGCTTTATTTAGAACCCAAAAGTTCATTTCCTTTCTCTCCAATTTAACTTTGCATTTCCAATTGCCACCAGCAGTCATTTCAATGTGGCACGGACATCAGTGTATTGGAAAATAATTACAATGACAGATTTTGTTTTGCTGTGTGAGACCTTCCACTACTGAATCTAATTACTGCTGATACTTTATGAGCTCCTCCAGCACGAGATAATTGCTGCTTTCTCTTTTTATGAATAAGAAGTAATCAGTTGTCTTTTAAGGTGAGAAATATAAACAGCAATTAAATACCATGGTTCTCCATGCCCTCTCATCAGCTGGCACCTCTCAGAAAGACAACACAGAAAAAGGTTAGACTTCATTTATTGTTTGCCCTAAATACATTGTTTGAAAAGGAGGAAATAGGAACACTCCTAAACCATCAATAGCTTCCTTCAGCTTAGGAAATGTGTATTTTATTATGGAGAAGCAGGAGCAGCTCACCAGCAAAGCACTTTGCTCACAACTCACAATGCTCAGCATCATCACCCAGCCCTTTGCAGGATCTGGCCACAAGAAAAGGTGTAAAGACAGCAACAGGCTTGAGCATCAGGGGGCACAAAACCACACTTAACTCTACCAAAGCCTGCTGCTTTGGCCACCTTTCACCTCTCCCAGTGTTTCTAAAAATGTATATTAAATGGACGAATCTTTTAAACATCCTGCTACCCCATGAGCAGGGGACCCCTGGTTACAGCATCACATCATGGGGAGAAGACAGAGCAGAAGGAAACTCCCCATCCCTGAAAGTGCCCAGGGCCAGGCTGGATGGGGCTCTGTATTCCACTGGTCTAGTGGAAGGTGTCCCTGCCCATGGCAAAGTGGTGGAATTTGATGAGGTTTAAATTCCTTCCAAACCGAATGTATCCTGTTTGAACACCAGAGACAGGTTTCTCCACCACCCACAACAGCTTCTTTTCTGCTGGGTTTTCTTTTCCCCTGCTTCTTTACCTGAACAAAGTGTCTACCTTTGAATAATTCATTGGTGAGGTTTGTACCACTTTGTTCACAAAATCACAGTGGGGAACTTTGTTTTTCATTAAATATTTCTCTGCCAGCTCCTCTGTGTGATGGAGTATTGCTCTGCTTGCTCCCTTGCCAAAAATCTGCCAGGCAGAGAAGAGCAGCACACCCCACGGGCTGATAAAATGAGGGGATGGGAGGATGCTGGGGCAACACTCCCTCACCTGGCTTGGGAAATGTCTGAGATGAATTTGAGATGAAGTGGTGTGACCCTTCAGTGTCACAGCAGGAAGATGCCTCCAGTGCTCCAGACCTCCCTGCTTCTCTCCACAAAATCATGGTGGAGGTAACCTGCTCAGGTTTAGGTAATAACCTTGACCTGTGGCAATTAAGGCAGGTGAATTCTGCCACAATTTGCTGAATCAAGGGGGGAGAAAGTTGTTCTTCCTTAATGAGTGGGTTGGGATAATGAATAACCATCCTGCTTCTGATGTAGATGTCTCATGCAAGGTAATACTCAAATGCTTAGATGCCTAATTTATAAGCAGGGAATAGACCATTTTCCTCTTGCAAAATATTAGCAAGAATTAGTCATATATATTCACATCACGTTGGAAAAGCAGTGGTGGAAGGCATCACGAACAGCAAACTAGAATGAATTACTAAGATCTCTATTAGCATGTTAACATTTATTTAAAATACATAGTTGGCAAACCTGATGGTCGTGAAAATTGCTAATAATGAATATAAATAGACATGAACAGGCACAGAAAGTTAATAATAAAAAATGAACTATTGGTGTTGTCCTGATTTTTTTAACTCTTTCATAATGTTGATAAAAAATCACTAACACTTCAGATAGATCAGTGCTTGGCCAAGACTTTTGCCTTTAATTTATTATGGCAAGACATCAACATGTTAAATACGTGCCTTCACTTTCCCTGCTGCCTTCCTCAGAAACATCAAAATGGATGGATTTTGATCAAGCAAGGAAATCAAGCCCTTTACTCAGCAGCAAGAGGGGAGAGAAATTTGCCATTTCCTGTTCTAACTCCTGAAATTTCTTATCATTGTCACTTCTTTAATGTGGAGTAATTTGAGTTTCTCTTTCAGCTTCAAAGATAGATGAAAGGGAGATTTCAATTTGGATTGCTTGCAGCAGAGCTGTAGTTGGGATTGGGAAGTACTTACAACTTCTTGGAATAAGCAAAACCTCCCTCCCTGGCTCGGCCCTCAGCACACTACCTTAGTGCTCACCAGTGAAAAGGAAAACTTTTTATTCATCGTGGCACAAAATAACGATGCAAATGTGGTTAAAGGTGGAAGTGGGAGAAGGAATTGATTATCCTGAGGCAATAAAAATCACTGGCACAGCCTAGTTGCACTATTAATTGGTGTGGAAGGACAGAAAATAATTTCAAAGGAACTAAAGCTCTATAAACACTTCTCTCAGCCTGGAAAGACAACAAAGTGCTGAGTGGTGCACTTCTCAGCAGGGATGTTTATGTGGTTCATCAGCTCAGATTTTATAGGTATTCATAAATGAACTTCAATATGCTTCTTGATCAGTGCCACTGTCTAGAATAATCCAGTATCATTAACATACATGATGGATTTTGCACATATACACTTTGCACATATAAATCAGGTCATTATGTCTTGGTTTTGGTGCTTGCATGATTCCTCTGCAGTCCTTCAAACACACAGCCCTCTGGTTTCTAATATAGCAGCCTCACACATGAGCAGCTGTATTTGGAAAGCAGGAAGCCTTCCAAGGTGGAAGCTGGATTTAAAGGCAGCTTTATAAGATGAAGTTTCCAAAAGCCCCCTCAGTGATGCTGACAACAATCATGCATTCAAAATCCCACCTGAGGGACCCAGTGTTGCCTGCAGAGCTGGAGGACACAGCACTGCTGAAGAGGATGGGCACCTTTCAGATTTATGTGCTCTGTTAATGCAACTTTTATGCCACTCACTCTGAGCCTGTGAAAGCTGAGGAAGGAGCACTCACTCACCCTTTTGGTGTAGTCCATGGCCTTCAGGATGGAGAGGTTCAGCATCTCCAGGGAGGCCAAAACATCTTCATAGTCTCCCATATGGTCAGCAAAGTAGTCTGGAGAAACCAAGAGAAGCTTGATGGGAACATGTTAATGTAACTTGAGGCTAATTGGCACAGCAGGATCTATTATTGGTGGTAACATAAACCTGGGAGGATGGTTCCAGGGGTATTTTTATAGTCTATGTCCTCAGCCAAAGTCACAATTTGTCCTGCAGGGATGGGAAGTGGTGTGATTCCCATGAAATTTGGGACCGTTGCAAAAGGGAGATGTAAGACCCAGTAGCTCCCATTGAAAATAACTCCTCAGGTTCTTTATTTCTGTATTTGATTGTATATGGTTCCTCTCCCTCCTATTGCTGTCATGGAGGAAGAGGTCTCAAAAGAAATTCCCTTTCCATTCCTTTGACATTCTTTGCCACTCAAAGCATCCAAATACCTTCCAATTCACCCCAATTCGTATGAGCTGACACTGGCCTTACATTTTTCCCTACATTCCTATCACATTTACACCTCAGCCCACAATCACAGGTTGAACAAGCTTTTGAGAGTAAAATATGCCTTGAAAGGAAGAGAACAGAGCTGCAAGCTGGGCCCAAAATCACATGTTCTCCACAGAGAGGGAGCCACGTTTTCTCTGTGCCATCCTTGTCCTTTCCCTGTTTCTGGTGATTGACACAGAGTACAGCAAAAAGCTGTTCCTTAAAAGCCACCAGTGCTGTTCCTCAGCACTAGGACATGGAGTTTCACACTGAGGTGACATCTCTGTGAAGTGCAGCAAGACATAAACTCCAGGAAACAATCCCACTAATTAGGTTTTCTTGGCTTAATTAGAAGTGCCTATAGCTATTTACAGTCTGAGAACATATCCAAAGGGAAGAAGATTTTGGCAGAAACCCGAATGTCACAGCATGACTGACAGCAGCTGTTCCACGATAAGTAAACAGCTTATTCTCATTGCAGTGTGTTTGTTTGGTTTTTCCTTCCTACTTGGGAAAGAAAAATGGAGCAGATCTGATAGGTAAAGATTTTTTCTAAGTCCTGAAATAAAAAGCCCATCCATTTCAGGAGAAATGAGCTGTTGTGGGCACAGCACAGCCCTTGAGACTGACCGAGACATGGGAGGAGAGCAGAGCTGACTTTAACAAAGTATTCAGCTCTGCTGCTTTAGCGTTTTTTATTCATGTGAAGCTGCAGGGCTCAATAAATAACTTTTAAGATGCTCTCAACATTTTGTAACACACAATCCATTTCAAGAGAGAAACCATAGCTCCCATTTAGACAAACTGAGGGTTTATGTTTAATACTTAGAAGTGAAGCAAGCAAATAAATCAGAGGCAAGGGCAGGTATTCAGCAGATAACAGATCTAGGCAGGAACTTGTGCTGATTGATCCTTTCTCTGGCTTCCCCTCGCTCTCCCCAGGAGGTGATGGGTTTATCTCCCTTCTCTCCTGGCAGCTTCAACCCTGGGAGAAGCAGAGAGATGGGATCACACTGGGTGACAGCCATGTAATTTCCTGATTTTATCAGAGTGATGGAGAAAGCTGTGTGGGGTCAAACAATGCCATTGTTACTCCTGGGTTTCCTGGCATAGCTGATGGCTCAAGCTGTAGGGATTTGATTTCTTGGGTCAGCTGGCAGTAAGAATGGAGGGATGGGAACAAGCCCATCATATCCTCAAACCAAAAGGATTTTATGGAAATCTTCATTTCTTGCATACCAAAACAAGGACAAGCAGGAATAACCACTGGAAAGGGGAAATGTCGCTGCTTTTGCTGCCAGCTCAGATGCTCAAAATGTGTGGGCAGGGGTTGGGTACATCAGGAGGAGAGAAACCCTGGATAATGTCGTGGTGCAGGCACACCCATGGACAGAGAAGTCTTTAGGGTATCAGGAATAAGAAGCAGCTGCCTGCTGCTGGCACAGGCACCCAGAAACCCCATCTGTGTCTGCACAACCCACTCCCAGCCACACTTCCAAAGGCTGTAATTGGTGGGAAAGGGATGAAGGGAAATGGTGAAGACCTGCTGAGGTGGCTTCACATGTTCGTCTGCATCCTGGCACAGGAGGGGAGGAGAGGACATGGATGAGCTTTCTGCAAGGCCATACTCTTCTCTTGCCATCTCCTGCCAAAAAGCTGGGGTGCAGGAAACATTTCCCAATATCAAGCATCCATAGAAAAATACACCTGATTTAGCAGCTTGAGTCACCTTCATTGAAGCAAAGCCCTTCAGAAATCCCAGCAGGGAACATTCCCTTTCTGGTCAAGGTGTGGGACAAAATATTATCACAGATTTTCTGTTCAGCCTCTAATTTTGGCAAGCTATGGGAGGTACAGCAGAGCCAGTGCACTCCTCAGGCAGCCTGCTGGGAAACATGAAGGCTGGCCTAGGGAGAAACATGTCACAGGTATTGCAGAGGGATTTGGGTTTATTGAACTTCAGAGCAAAGCTGGAAGCCACGACACCTCCAGAAATTAAACTCCAGCTTGTTATTGAACGGGATCCACGTGCTTTGCTTAGCTCTGACCCCATTTGTGTTGCAAGAAAATGAAAAAAGTTCTGCCAATTTTCCAGTGGAGTAAGGAGCAGAGCAGCAGCAGGGCTGAGATCCCCCAGCTCCACAGCACTGCAGTCTGTACTGGGTTTCATGCAACCTTTGAAGGGCCTCATGCACACAATGATTGCTTTTGCCCAAAAGGAGGGATGCACTCACCACACAGCTCCTTGGTGTCCACATTGCTGGAAGAGGGGGAGAACGAGGCAAGGGAGGAAGCAGGAAGAAAGAAAGAGAAAAGAAGAAAGAAAGACAACTTTAATGTAAAGGACAGATGAAAGCTACAGTTAGAATTCTCACAGGCTTAACTCCAGATGCCCTCCTGCAACATCACCCATCCCCTCAGCATCCCCCAGCCACCAGTGGGGACAGCCTGTGGAGAAGAGAAGAGTTGGTGTCACTCGGGCATCTTCAGCATCTGTGCAGCTGGAACAGATTCACAAGTTATTCTGGATATTCCCTGAGAGGGAAATGGGTACTTGTACATCCCCCCTGAGGGGACCTTTGCCCAAGGGGACCCAGCACACCTGGCACATCAACTCCTCTGACTTCCTTACAGACATCCAGCCTGGCAACATCCTGGTGAGACACTCGATATGGCACAGGAATGTGTTTGTTCCCATTTACTCTGAATAAAAATTTGCAAAATACACTTTTCTCGATGGACCAATTCTCCTAATTCTGCCCTTATGAAGCAGCTCTTGCCCGGGACTCCCTCCAGACAAAACTGCACAATTACTTCTCAACACATGAACATTTAGTTTATGTAACAACATCTCAACAGACAACCTGCTTGGGAAATAAAAATTGCTGCTAATCTCTTTGTGCCTGCTATTCCCACACAATCATTAGTGCCATTCAAGGACTGGAACGATCCCTTAATAGAATTTTATTGCATCCATTCATTTATATCCTGGAAAGTTATTTCTTTAACTAAACTCATCCTTGCTCTGTCTAACCTGCCAGCACAAGTGGATTAGGGCTTTCACTGCAGCATCCTCCTGCAGCCCTGCCTTGATGCCCAGATCAAGGCAAACACAAATGTCTGGAGCTCCTGAGGTGCTGCCTGACAGAAATGAGCCACCTGCCCCGTCTCCTGCAGAAAAAGCACGTGGTACTGGATCGCACCCCTTTTGGGTAAGTGTGAAGAGTCACCTCTTGTCCGGTGCCCTGGTGCTGCAGGGCACACCTGAGTGCAGGGGTGGCTGCTGTGGCTGCACTCACCTCCCCCTGCACCATCAGCCTCTGTTCCACTCATCTCCATTCTCTTGGAGACTTCCTCAAACCCTGGAATGACTTCCCTGAATCCCACAAAACCCCCGGGGGATGCCGTGGGCTCAGCTTTCCTGACAAGCTGTTGTCATGCCAAATGCCTGAACGCAGGGGTACAAAGCACTGTGAACAGAGCCAGCCCTGATCCCGGAGCTCTGGCAGTGCTCAGCACTTTGGCAGAGTGTTTGCCACCACGGAGCCTCAGCAATGCAGCAGCAGAGAACTTCAGGTGAGACCCCCAGAATTCCCAACCCTGGCACTGCCCTGTGCCAGACCCAGGACCAAAGCTCTCTCCAGCACACAGCCTGGCAAGTCAAATGCTGCTTCCAGGCACATGCACAAGAGCAGTTTTGACATCAGCATCACCCACAAAGTGTTTCAATAATATTTTTTAGGAGACAGTTATTGTTTATAAACACCTACTGACGTGGTTATAGGTTTGCAGCTAGGGCATGTTACTGGGGAAAAAAAAACCCTATTATTGTATTCCATGTGATTCTGCATTGTAATAATTCATCTGCTGCTGCCAAAATTGGTCTTTTATTTCCTCACATCTTGCCGTTGTATGATTTAACTTAATTGTGCTTGAATGTTAACTCGGCTGAGAAGTTGCTTTTAATTTTAAGCCATCTTGCCTTCAGAATAAGCCTAATGAAAGAAATTACTGAAGTCACAAGCTGACTTAATAAAAAAATATGATAATGTTCAGATGAAAAACTGTAAGGAGAAATCAATGGGTACTTGAGTAGGCTGTTTCCATCCCCCAGGAGTTTTCCTGCTGGGAACATCGCTGACACAGAGCCACGTTCCCATCACTCTTCCAGGGGGGGTCTGGCCCAGCTTGAGATCTGCACAGCAAAAGCCATGTGCAGTACCCAGCTACAAAACAATTTACAAGCTGATCTGGTGGTTTAATACTTTAATAACTAAGCCCCACCATGGGTTATGCCAGTAGGGATTTTTATAATGCAAGTATTCAGGATCTGGGGTTCAGGCTGGTGAAATGGGAGGTGGCAGCTCCTGAGGAGCTCCCTTGTCATCCCTAACCCTTCACCCCAGAACTTCCCTTCAGAAGATGCTTTTGGAGCAATCATGTATCACAAATCCTTTCAGCAGAAAAGCATTTAGGTGAGCATTAGTTACCTTTTTTTTTTTTTTCAGATGCCACACATTTAACACTCCTGCACACAACAATAAGCTTAAAAAAATCGCGACAAGTTGTATTCAGGAAAAAAATTGAAAACGTCTTTCAAGTACCAGAACACTCGGCTGTGAATTAGCTTTCGATTTTTATTACATTAATAATATGACTAATTCAAGAGCTTATTGAAGTCATAAGCCAACTAACTAACAGAATATAATGAAGTTTAAGTAGAAATGAAAGAATAATTAAAGATTTCTGTGTTATACAATTTTTTCTGCATAGCAGAGACCACATCTATTTGATCTTGTTCCAAAACAAAAGCCTTTCTTTCAAAGGAGAAATAAAAAATCAAGAAAATCCAAGGCTATTTGAAAATCCAGGCCTTTTCTCTGTTTTCCAGCCAATGAGGCTGTAGCATGGAGCAGCACAGCCCTGCATCCCCAGGCGTGCTGGGGCTGTGCACCCTCTGAGGTTACTTTCCAAGGCAAAGATGTACTTTGGAGCTCCTCCATTTCCTATCTGGGGCATAACTTGCTCCAGCAGAAGTAGAAGGCAAACACAAGAGCTCAGATTTCAACCCATACCACCTTCTGAAAAATCAGAGCCCCAGCCATGAACTACTTTGGCCACAGAAAAAGAGATGGTTTATTGCTCACCACTGCCTCCCATTTAAAGACACTGGGATCATTTGACCAGATAAACATAATGGCAATAGGGAAATAGTTTTCTGTCCTGGTTCACATCCAGCTGTTTCACAGAAAAGACCTCTAAGCATGGTAGACCTCCTGTGTATGTGGGAGTTTAAAGAGCAATGACCACGCTGTGAGAGCATCCCCTCAGTGGGCTTAATTAAGTGAATTTGTCCAGAGAGTAATTACTGATGCAGGACTTGTAGGAGCAAGAGGCTGCTTACCAGAGTAATGGCTGTGCCTCCTGCATGCTCCAGAAAGAAAAACATTTCTCCCCACAAAGCCCCACCCAGCGTTAAATTGTGGTTTGATGAGCACCTGAGCTAATGAGGATCCCTGGGAAGCCACATCTCGGTCCTTGATTGCGAATTGTCCTTGGACAGGCTTTTATCAGAGCTGTCCTGTGCTGACTCTGCTGCTTTTCCATCAGTTTATGAGCCTTTTCTGTTTCTCTATGTGCCTTTCTTGAAGCATGCTGCCCTCTTAGAGACTTTATCCCAGGAACAAGGCACCATCAGACACAAGATGTTACATCAGGGTGTCCAGCAGCCCGGGGATTATGGCTCAAGCTGAGCACCCCAGCAGCCACTCTGGGGGGTGATGGTACCATGCAACCCCCAGCTCACTGATCCAGACCAGCCTAACACTTTGTTAAAGCAAATCAGTGTTTTCTACCAGGGGAAAAAAAAAATCTGGAAATTCCCCGTGATGCTTCTTTTCATTAGCTCTTAATAAGCAAGCCCACTGGAGCACAGCACAGGAGGGGTTACCCAGAGAACATCCCAGGAGGTCTCAGCAGGGCAAAGTCAGGGATGTCCTGGTCCAGGGCTGCAATCCAGCCTCTCTCCCTCTCTTTCCCAGCATCTCCCTGCCTCCCTAAGGCAAGGCTGGTGGCCTCTGTCTTGCTGTCATTAAAATATTTTCCAGACTTCAGCTGAAGAGAGGAGAGGAAAAGTTATCTCAGAATGAAAAAGATAATGTGGAGGACTGGAGCATGAAATTCCCTTCCTGAGTTTCAGCTTAGCCAAAGGAAAGGTGTCCCAGGCACTCCCAAGGGGCAGTACAATCAAAATCATAATGGGAATTCAGATGTTGCAAATACATCAAAGTCTCATCTTCACGTTTCTCATGCAAATATCTGCCTGGATGTGCTGCTCAAATGCTGCTCAGTGCCCGATCAGCTTCAGCTGAAGATAATAACCCTTTTCCTTGGGCAGATGAAAGGTTTGCATCAGCAGCCACACGGCTTAGTCACTTCACCAGCACAGAAAATGCAGGGTCTTTTTTCCCCGAAATCACGTTTTACTTTTATTTCCATCTTTTATTCACAGCCTTGGGTTTGCTACAAGGCTTCAAACGAGCACGGAAACAAATTATCCTCTAGCATTAGCCACCTGCAGAACTCATTTTCATTTAGGAAAGACTAAAAAACAACAAGTGCAGCTGGAAAGTATTATTATATCTGATGATAAGGCTTCTGGTCCCATCAGCAACAGCGCTGTGTTATCTCAACACCTCAGAAGTGGCAAATATGCATCCAGATGCCTACTAAGGGGTCACAGATGGTCACTTCTGATCATTAGTTTCTGAACTCAATTAAACATTTTTTACACAAATCCCAGAGTGAGAGAATTTTTCCCAGGGAGAGCAAGAGAAATACCAAATACTGGATGCCAATCAGGAGCTGAATAATTCTAAAGAATCACACAGCTTTCCAAGCCCATCATTGTATCTTCTGGTGAATCCTGGTAAATCCTTCCTAAGACTTGTCCAAGTACCTCCCCTTTACCCACCTGCTTGTTTAAGAAAAAACTCAAACCACTCTTATGGTATTACTTTAAAAAGGACTTCCAAAATCTGGTGTGCCACATGCAAAGAAGCAGCAGAAACCAGATGCCAAGGCTGTCCACAGCCAGGAGAACATCCAGCCACCTGCAGCTTCAAATGACAAAGGCACAGAAGGGTTCAGAACAGTTCTTGCTTTAATTTCTTTAGCTGTGGCAAGCTGGCAGTATAGGGCTCTGGTGTTCACCTGGCTTTACTTTAAGGGATGGTAAATCCAAATGTCCCTGTTTCTTGC